ACTTGTCTTATAAGTTAGATACATGTCTTGTAAGTTGGACATGTATTAGAGGTCTTATAAAATGTGGCCACATACCTTCTAATTAGATAGTATATATAGAAGCAAGAGTAAAGCATTCTTCACTCTTGTTAATGCCTTTCTAGTCCTTAGTCTTATTTCAAGACTTTTTAGTCTTCTTATCTTAAGTAATAGTCATTTTTGTTTCAATGCTATATTAATTTTGAATGAATATCTATTTTTTTTACTTATATAAGAGTATATTAAGTTTTTGATTCTTTAAGATTCATATCTTTGATAATACTTAAGATTAAGAATTTTACATTGCTTTAAAGCAATGATCTTTTTGATAGGTTGAGAAATGCATGGTATTGTATTTTATGATTAAATAATATTAAATGTACATTCGTTGTGTGAGTAAAGATATTCAAATATTTTGTTTGTTATATTAGATATGAATATTTTATTTTTGGTGATATTTTTTCTAAAGCACTATGTTCCATGAATATTGACAATCCTTATTAGTAATAATATACAAAATATTAATATTAAAGATCTAGAATAATCTATAGAAGATATATTTTAATATGCTTAATAAGATTTTAATACCTTACAAAGTAATTTGATGTAGTCTTTAAAAAAGTAAAGATAAATGTTTTAATGTTTATAAAATATATATTTATAATCAAGAATCACTTTGATATTATACTGGTTCAAAAATTAAGATTATAATATCTTTTCAATCAAATTATTCTCAAAATTACTACACTACTTTTTTCAAAATTTGCTAAAAATGGTTTAAAGTTATTACAATATTTTTTTCATATACACAAAATAGTAGTGAATACAAACATATATATATATATATATATTTATATCTTATAAAATAATTTAGGACATAAACCAATGGGATGAATTCAAAAAGACAAAAACCATCTCTAATTGGCTGCATATCTCATTGTTTTTATTAAAAGTGAAGCAAGTATGAAGCAATAACTCAACTTTTGATCAATTAGAGATCAAAATGTGCATGTTGTTGCTCCAAATTGCTAAGAATAGCATTGCAAGATTATTAGGTGTGGTGCTCAGGAGCTTCCAATTGAAATTATGAAAGCCAAAGTTACTTTTGTGGCTATAGTGGATTCCATACAATTTCTAATTTCTTACCTTCATCTCCTTATATGGTGTTGTTGAAGTATGGGTGTATATAAATGCATGAATTCAAGCCTAACAATTTGTTTTAATGCAGCAAGTGTGATTCTTGGACAATTTATTGAAGCTTAGAGGCTCTAATTGGAAAGTACAAAGACTCTCTAGGATTTGAGGGTGACACCTTGCAGATTTATCAATAGATTTGTAAGAAAGACAACTTTGAAAGCCTAACAGTAAAAGCTTGGATGATTTGTATAGTATCCAAAGGTGGCACAAACAAATGGCACAAACTATTTAGAAGTTGAGTGCAAGCTAGGCAATATTTGCTAGTATAGATATATGTTTAGATAGAGAGAAAGAATTATTTGTTGCACTGTCACTCAACATTCTGTGTAGTAGATGTAAAGTGTATGTATAGATACCAATGTAACACATGGATTTGCAATTGGACTAGAAGTAAATGCATAAGGTTCTAAGATCCATAAAAGCATGCCACAAATCAACACATACGAAGCAAGGAATGAATGCTTTAGCATCAACATTACTCAAAAAAATTCAAACTAGCAGAGTTAAAGGTCAGTTATTAAACCTAGAAGAGAGGGAGAAGAGCACGTCACAAACAGTAACCGATTGCATAGCTCTGCTACTTCGAACGACGAACGCCTACCGACATTGTCCCGATCGCCGACACGATGAGCAGCCAACACTTCAATTTAGGATCAGCAGAACCATCGATGTAGGAAATTTGTAGTTATTGTGTTTTAAAGAATGGGTGTTTCTACCTCACCAGAGAAGACTGTTGATCCTCACCTACAATATGATCTACTTCATGCTCATGGACAACCTATTTGTGGTCTAATCTAGACATATCTGCGATAGAATTGAACTGGTGAAGCTGTGGGAGCGATGAGCCGATCACGGCCAAGGGTGGACGAAGAAGCCTTTCGCCCGGAGGCTGGCCATCAGCTGGGTGGCCTCCTGGCGAGTGCGAGAGAAATGACCCCAGCCGTAATCCAGCATGCTCTGGTGGTGATAGTGAACCTCCACAAATAGCTCGTCGACGATCTGCGCCATCTCGGGATCGTTCAACCATCTCTGCAAAATGGGCCACTCGGCTCCCTCGATGTCCATCTTCACCACCACCGTGTCCTGTGAGGTGAGTTTCAGCTCCTCTTTGATGAACCGTGTGATGTTGACGGAGGTCTCGTCATCGGCATCCGCGACAAATGTACTGTATTGCTTGATACGCTTCGTCATCCAGTCCAGGACTTGCGGCGTTCTGAGGACGCGTGTGGCATGAGGATTCTCGGGACCCCAATTGGAGTCCTCGTTGAAGCCTGGTGAAGGAATCTTGAAGCGGTTTGGTGTGACCTCCCAGGCATGGACCTCGGTAAAGTCGCAGGGGTACATCTGCGAAAACCAGGTAACGCTTGTGCGGAAATCGTTGGCGCCCATATCTAGATAAACGCGGCGTGCTCTTTTGTTGAGGTCGATTTTGGCCCCATATAGCCAGGGAAGCAATAAGGTCTTATATCCTCTACATCAGTGACGAATTTTAAGGCGAACCCGCGGCGAAAATTGTTGGAGGGATCCAGAGCTTCGATCAATTGTCCCTTCACGGGACAATACGCCGGGGCTCCAGTCCACTTCATCTGCTTCCATGCATTCGCCGCTGGAAGTTGGGGCCCAACTTTCAAGTGACCTAACGCCGACTCGCAGATAGGGTCTATTTCGTCAGCCCCCCAAGTCTGGACCGCTCCAGCTCCATCTGCTAACTGCAGCGGCGGCCCCCAATGATACAACACGAAGTCTACGAGAATGTAACTAGTGAGGCAAAGAATGATGATGTTGTATGTTCGCGAAGAAAAAGCCGAGGCCGAAACTTTCAAATAAGTCATGATGAGAGAGTCGACGCAATCGCCTCTTCAACACACACCACGAGAACACAACTCCCTGGATCACGGTCTCCACCCTCAACCGAATGATCGAAAATCAATTCGCAATGACTTCCCACTTACTCTCTCAGCAAGATCTATCAAACTCTGCTGTTCACAAAGCGAAACGTTTCGTTTGATTCGCTGCAAAGCTGCGGACACACCAAAAGGAAAGTGAAGACAAGAGAGGAAATCTCGTCACTGCCTACAAAATCCTCTGGCGACGTAGAATCGGCCAAGTTATGTGGTAGAAGACGCAACCTCGTGAAAGCTCACGTGTAAATGCACGTCGGGGAACATCGCCCGCACCCCTCCTGCTATACCTTCGCAGGCCCTTCCTTCAACCCTGGACTCTGTCCTCTCCACAGATGCAGAACTTATACCCACCTCATGCTTGCACTGTTCTTACACCAAGAATTTTCCATGCATCGAAATCACTGATATTTTGATCCTCCATCTTCAACCGCTACATCGTCATACGACTGCGCAGACACTTAGAAAACAGAAACCTTTTGTCGATTTGTTACAGCTTCCTCTACTTCCTGAAACTGTGCGAACATTGAGATAGTCCTAAAACAACGACCTAGTCACAAGATATGGAAGCACTCAAGCTCTAGGGAGGAGACTCGTGGAGACTGGCGACGCTGAAACAACGCTAACCCGATCCACTTGGCGACATATCGGGTATTTTCAATGACACCACATGAGATTCCTTGAAGTTAGTTGCCGTAGTGTGTGGTCCTTGGACCTCCGGGATAGTAAACATATGGATAGAATTACAAGTCAATTCTCTCAATGTTTTTTATTATTTATTTGATGATTTGTGATGCTATTGACCATTGTCAAAGTCATCTATTGACTAGTTTTGAAACTTTAATCTCAACAAGTCGTCAATCATCACTAGAGGATGTCAATACAGGCCAATTTTAGTGGAGAAATGAATTGGAATATATATATTTTGAAAGTTTTTTTTTTCTATGTGTATATGTTTTTTATGTTGAGTATTATAAATGATTATTAAAATATGGTATGTGGTTGTTTTTATTTACGATGGAATGAAGAGACTAAAACAAACAAACCAATTGTGGATAATAGTGGGTATAAGATCATAAATGACAAAAACAAGGAGAAAGAAGAGAAAATATAAAATAATAAAAGAAGAAGTGAAATATATTTTTTTGACACTCCACATGGACTATTAAATATTTGATGAAATTTCTTTCTATTGGCATCTTCATATAGGTGTAGAATTCTAAGATCACACAGGGATTAAGACATGAGATTGGTAAGTTTTTGTATGCTAATAATCAATAGCATAAAATAACACAAGATATTTTTTTTGTTCTACTAGATGGTGAAGTTATGACTTAATTCTTTATTCTTCTTAAAATTATACAATAAAATTAAAAAATAATGTAAATGGTGCAATATTAAAAGCGAATTTTGAAAAAATCAGAATATTTTTGAGATACAAAGAAAAAAAATGCATATTTTTATTAAATTTTAGTACAAGTTACAATAATATTTAAGCAATAATGGACTATAATTAAATTATTTAAATTATGTAAAAGTAAAACTTAGTAAATGAATTTTGATTTAATTAATATACAAATTTTTAATATTTTAAAAAATAAATATATCATCTTATGACTACACGGATTCAGTATTTTTTTAAAATATATTTTTAACATGATCTAAACATTTTTCTCCAATCTGCTCTCATCCTACAACCCACAAAACCCCCTAATATTAGCAGTGTGAAACGAGCTAACTTGAAACAAGATAATGTGTCGGTTCACCGCTGCCGACGCATGCCCACCCATACTACCCCTTTTCACACAGCGTCCCCTGAGCTTCAAAAAGTCCATTTTCACACGATGGCGCATGAGCTTCATGCATAGGATGCATCGCACCCTGAATCCAAACTCTCGCACTGAAGTCGACCAACTCCACATCAATCTCCAGCATTTTGGGTTTCATGAGTCTTTGCTGAGTGTGCTGAGTGTATTGCATTTGCCACCGTCGCTGATCCATCATGAGAATTCCTCCTCGATCCATCTTGGCCGACTTTCTCAAGCTCGGAAGAACGTCTAATGAAGTTGGGTGCGGTGGAAGGGCCGCATCTCGGGCTCGACATGGAATTCGCGGCGTCTATTCTGGTCATGGTGGGCTCCGATTTCTTGTACGATTCTCCCTGTGGCAGTAGAAGTGACTTTCTGCCGGTTGTCGGTGCAATCGGTTTGGGTGTTTGATCGCTACATTGCTTAGTCATATTACTTAGCCATGATGTGCGTTAGGGTGTGTGTATCGAGCAGTGCCATGGTTGGTTGGCAAGGATGATTTGTGAGTTGGGGAATTGAGCTAGGAGTTGGGAGTATCGATTTTGGAATTGAATTGGGAGTTAGAGAGAAGTTCAACTCCTGGTGGGTGTTGTGGACATTCTAGTAGCTGAGACGTTGTAGGAGATGGGTTCATTGTGGTGATCTAGTGTAGGGGAGTACTTTGATCTGGGGATGTGAGCAGAGTTGATGTTGGAGGGGGTCGGGCGAGTTTGTTTCGAACCGAAGGCAACTTTCGGCAGTTTCTATTTTTGTTCCATTTGAATTTATTGCAACTCCATATCTTCATTCCGTTGAATTCTTATGCGGGAGTAGATTTGAGGAGTCTCCCGAGACTAGGGCAGGAAACGGCGCTAATTGCATTTGAAATTGATAGCAGGGCTAGAAGCAGCAGTGCTGAACATACGCTCAGTTGGATGCAATCAGCTGCATTCTATGACAACATGGGCGCCATTTGCAATTGGCCATGGCTATCACAGCGATGTCCGTGCAGGGGAAAATACAGGGAAGGAAAGAATTGCGGTGATTGGGAGTGGGAATTGGGGTAGTGTCGCTGCCAAGCTCGTGGCTACAAATGCCCTCTCCCACGAAAATATACACGGTACGTGGGTTTTAAGTACATGATGTTTCTCAAATACTTCTGCTAGAAACACTCGAATTTCGCTGGGATTCTACGTTTGCTGCAGCTGTTTGGTTTCTTCGATTTCTCAATGTTTTTGAGACACTCACTAGTGATTTTAGGGGATGTGGCTTTATAGACGAAGTGCGGATGTGGGTGTTTGAGGAGACATTGGCTAATGGGGAGAAGCTGACACAGGTCATCAATAAGAATAAGGTCAGAATCGTTGTCATCTGATAATATTTCCTGCGAAGATTCCCGAATTATTGATTATTATTTTAGGCATTAGGCCTGGAATGAGCACATGTCTGCCAATCTTAATGCTCACATACTTGGGTTGATTTCTAATGAGCTCTTCTTGTACCATGAAGGACAGATAAATGTGAAGTATTTGCCCAATGTGAATCTAGGTGTCAACGTTGTTGCGGATCCAAATCTCGAGAACACTGGTAACTCGTCAATTCTACTTATAATTCAAAGGATTTCGAAATCTTTCTCTCTTCTATGTGGCTATATACATGTACATATTTCACTCTTCTTGATTTCATTTATCCTTCGGCTTTCCTGCGACAGATGTTAAATCAATACACATGAGGAATTGTGAAACTAGCTAGAAATCTGTGACTGACTAGGGCCGTTGCTCGCAAGGAGGGAACAGTTAAGGATGCAACGATGTTAGTGTTTTGCACACCACATCAATTTGTCGAATCAATTTGCAAGCAACTTCAGGGTAAAGTGAATCCCAATGCCAAGGCTATATCTTTGATAAAAGGAATGGAGGTATTTAGCCATTTCCTGCCTCTTATTATTTTTACTTTTTGGTTCTTGGAAAATGAGCACTTGCAGTTGAGCTTCATGTTGAGTTTCTAATGGATCTACCGAAAGGCAATGGTAATACACCTATCGAAGTTCTAACGCTAGCTTCGTCTGAATTCGTTTAGATTGTCGCGAATTCTAAATTCATGCTATATTGTGAACAAGCTTCCCCTTAGCACGTTCGGTGAACTGGATTGAGTGCAGGCTCAATCCGCATGCTGGATGGCCTTTTCAGCAGTGTTTTAGTTAATATTTTCGACATTTATGTATGACTTCGTGTTTTCATGTGTGATATTGAAGGTGAAACCAGATGGCCCTGTCATGTTGTCGAAGTTGATCACGAAGCACCTAGGCATCGACTGTTCGGTACTTATGGGAGCAAATATTGCAAATGAGGTACGAAATTGCCTTCGTTGAAACCTCTTCTGAAGGTTTTAGCGTCAGCCACGATTGAGGAAGGAGTTGTTCTTAATCTATTAACTTCTGAAAGCCTATTCCTCTACAAGAGGATTGCAAATCACATCGTATTGTAAGTTGGATTGTTGCGAACTTTGTGCTTGACCATTCGAATCACAAAGGCTCTAGCTTTTTAAAATTAATTGCTCCTCATCTCATGATATCGTCTCTGCTGGACACTAATAATGGAAGCATACATTCAGGTGGCCATGGAACAATTTAGTGAAGCAACTGTTGGTTACAAAGCAGATACCAGTATAGCGAAATCTTGGGTCCAAGCTTTTGCCACTCCATATTTTCATGTTGCAGCTGTAAGTTTCTACTGAATGCAATGACTATCTGTAGGCTCTACTTTGCCAGCACCTCATTTCTAGTGTACCTAGTGTTTTGTTGGTTAAATATCTTTGAGTATGCTAGACAAAAGCTGACATATGAGCAAATGCATCTTCTTCTTTTGTAGATAAAAGACGTTGAAGGAGTTGAGCTGTGTGGTACATTGAAGAATGTGGTAGCAATAGCTGCGGGTACTCGGTTATTTCTTGTGTATATGTGCAGGTTCATTTGTTTCTGATAAATGGCCGATTCCTGTTTGCACTTTTGAGGACTATAGAATTTGAAAAAACCATCGTCTCACAAATTCTCTGTATCTAAAATCGTAAATTATGATTGTGGCAGGATTTGTGGATGGCTTGGGGATGGGCAACAACACAAAGGTCGAATTTCTCGTTCTTTTTGTTGCACATTCAATTTCTCTCCGAACTAATCCTGTTTGCTACATCACCCATATTCGTTGGCTTTCCCAATCGGGTGAGTTTGTTTAGATACTTGTTGTAATGTGCAGGCTGCTATCATGCGGATAGGGCTGAAGGAGATGATTGGATTTTCAAAGCTGCTGTTTCCAACTGTCAGTGATGCAACCTTTTTTGAGAGCTGTGGCGTAGCAGATCTGATCACTACATGCTGTAATTTTTCACCCACTTTTGAGTTTACTGCTTGGATTATGCTGCACTCACTATTTCGCGATAGTTACTATATGCATGTTACATGTAATGTACTTCTTAATTTAGTATTAGTTACAAAGCGAATCACAAGTGTCATTGAGATGTACCCTTGGTATTTGAATATTTCACAGTTGGGGGGCGCAACAGGAAAGTTGCTGAGGCATATGCACGAAATGGTGGAAAGAGGTTAGCAAACACGTATTACGTTTTACTTTCACCACAGCATTATGATTCATAGCAGGACATAATGGACCCTTAATTAATGACTCAGTTGTTATTTTCTGTTAGGAACTGATGTTCTTGTCTTCATTTGCATGTACTAATTTATGGTGATGTAATACCAGATCTTTTGATGAGCTTGAGGCGGAGTTATTAGGAGGGCAAAAACTTCAAGTAAGCTTTTAAAAAGATTTACACTTGGTTCTCCAATTTCAAATTTTGTTCTCTAGGATGAGTACTCTGAGATGAGTGCAGCTGGCCTTGGAAAGTGATTCGTTTTAGGAACTTCATGAAACATTTGAATTGTTTGCTTCAATTACAACAAACTGTTTGGCTTCCTCCTTTCAGGGAGTGTTGACAGCTGGCGAAGTCTTTCAAGTGTTGAAGGCACGAAATTGGGAGAAAAAGTTTCCGCTTTTTGCAACTGTTCACAAGATCGCTATTGGCCACTTGCCTCCATCAACCATTGTTGACTACGACAACGAGAGCGCTCAAAAACTCCACAGAAATCCCAGTGTAGGTGTAATTGGCTAATTTCGGGTTGTGTTTGTAGCCAAGGCACCCATATGGCGAACTCCACATGATCACCGTAGGATCTGTAAGTATATAAAGCCTTGATCACAATCTCAACTGCACAGCCAGCTTTAGATGCAACCATCCGTGCTCCTATAACCTAGATGCATTTGTGCATTGATTGAAACTCTTCCTCCACATTCATGTTCTGGTATTGCTCGTCTAGTATAGCGTACGAAACTCATTCCTGCGAAGATTTCTTTCTTTCTTTCTTTCTTAATGTCTTGAGCTGGATAAACTTATTGAAATATTACTAACCTGGCCTGGAACGATCTGAATCTTTGTTGGACACCGCAGAGAAACTGCGTCTGTTCAACTCTGCACAACCTAGTAGCATGTTTCATCTTAACAACGATAATATTTACTTATCTCAGCTGAATACTTCTTTCGCCAGTTTTTGCGGTGCTACAATTCAATTCGACTAAAACACAGGAGCTGTCCCTTAATCATACCTTGCGCCTTGGTGTGATGCCTGCGCAGTTCCTGAATATCTTCTTAAATCTTGATTTCTAGGCCCTGCAGCCCCTGGATGGGTTATTTTGGAAATAACCTTCGTCGTGCAAATGTTTTGGTTAGTTTCTTCATGTTCTAACTGTGGGTAGATGCTGGCAAAAATCAACCACTCTAGCTTACACTTCGGCAAGCTTGCAGTGGGTTAGACAAGCAGGTAAAGATACAAATTCTTTTTTGAAACATACACATGAGATGTCCTCTGCACATATCCTTAGGATTGAGTCGTGTATATAATTTTTTTGTTAAAACAGGTTGTCTTCATATCCATTTGTTACAGCTTTGGGGCTAAGGTTGATCTGATTGTATGAATTCTATAAATTGTGGTAAATCTGGCAAAAAGAAAAAAGTTCCATTGGCATCAACATGTAAATAAGCGTAACCGTGCGAGGAGTTAGCCAAACTGCACAGGCAATGAGAGAAATTTGCGACATGTTTAGCAAATGAAAAGCATCAGTCGCCATGATTGACACACTAGAGCAAAGTCTGAAAGAACCCACTGATTTAAATCTGAACGGAGAGGAGCACACCATTGAAAAGCAGAAATCTGGCGATTTAAGAACCTAACAAAGTTAATTGCAAGGTGTTTGTGCTTCAGCTATACACCAAGTGATCACCAAAATGTACAAGTTCTAGAAAACTCATGACAATCTCATTTGCTACTAGAATGGGCGAAAACGTAGAAAAGACGGCCATCTCTACTATACAGGTTCTTCTAGAGAGCTACTTTCACATTCCCGAGGTTCAAAATACATTGCTCAGGGTGCAACTCGAAGGTTGGGTTGGAAAGAGAATTTAGTCTCAAAGATGTCCTTCATGTCGTAGAAATTGCCTTTGATGGGCTCCTCCCAAATGCCGGTAGAAATGTTGTAAACAGCAATCCACATATCATATGCATATGTTACCACATAAATCTTCGATCCATGAGCCCCGCAACCATAGATTGCCCCAGTAGATCGAAGGAACTGGAAATTTGAGTACTCGCTTACTTTTTCCCAACTTGAAAGGTTAGGATCCAACCGAAAAATCCCAATGCTTGCCATCGGCATCGTATCTGTAGCTTCAGAGCTTCCACTGACCAAGTGCACCTGCCCCGAGCAAGCTACGATGTAGGGATAATTCTCAAAACCCTCTGGAATACGAATATTATTATCTCTCCATCTCAGCATGGTCAGATCTAGAATCACTATTGTGTAACGACCAGTCAGAAAGTGTCGGGTCAAGCAGTAAAATTCACCACTGCAGTAAGCTCCACTCTTCAAAATCAAGTCGGCTGGCAACATCTCAGCTGCATTCCAAGTGTCAGTTACGGAGTCGTACAAATCTACCATGCGACATCTAGCATCAGGCTGTTTATATGCAGCATTACCTGCAAAAACAACAGAAAGTCCCCGTGTGTCCCAGGAAGCTTTTGAGACTGCAAAATAATTTGTTAAGAGATTAAAATTTTACACGATCATTCAGAAAATGTAAACTTGAACCACGAGATAAAACTCATTGAGACTGGATACAAATGAGGGGCAGGCAGTGGGCGTAATAAAAAATACCTAAAAATAGAATATCGTAGGAATTTCTTTGTTCGTCCACAATCATGTGACTGATTATTGGAGCTTTAGAATCTAAGCTCACCGGAAGAAGCTCCTTCCACCTCTTCGTCATAGGATTACAAACTAATAATCGCCGCGCATCCGAAGCTCCAAAGCAGAATAGTCCTCCATTGGCTGCTATCAAATTCCAAGAGAATTTTCTGGCAAACGTTGGAAATTCAAATTGAGGCATACTGACCCATTTCCCTTCAGAGAGATTGTATGATTGCCATGTGACCAATGGAGAAGCTCCACCCTTCCATCCAATTCGGGGCGAATAAAATTGTCCCCAAGGCACAGGGCATCGTAAGGAGGCCTCTTGGAACTGAGAGCAGAAGATTAAAGAATTCCATTTCTTACAGATAGAGCGCACTTGAAATATGTACGGGAAGGGAAGCAAAGCAAGGGCATGCTCGACGATATCGGTTGGCAGGGACGTCCACGGCGAAGAACCAGAATCATCGTCAATAGAGTTAGTTAATTCAGGCATCATACTCACAACTGAGACGTCACCGTAAGCCATGGAAGAGAGTAGGCTTAGCTCAGATTTCGTATCATCAAATCTGGGCCAAATCAGAGCACAGAATATGAGAACTAAAAACGCGCTAAAGCTGAAATCAGCAACCTCAAGAACTAATGTCCACGTTTTGCACAGCAGGGCAGTGTGCTACACAAATTTTGAAAACGTACAGAGATCTTTGTAAGGGAATCGCGAGTCGACCACTTGGCCTGACTTGACGTAACTAGACCTGACCTGCTTTGACTTGGCTTGACTTGAGCTGTTTGAGCTGCTGACAACGGTACTCATCCAGAAGTTTCGAGATATACGACTTTTCGTAGTTTCAAAGTTGGAGACCTAACTATATTTCTAAGATCAATGCGCTTATACAAAGAGTACGTCGGAATCCATTTGCTTGCTTGCATATAGGCCTCTGTCCTTAAAGACGAGGAGAAGAGCAATAAAAGACATGCACCCAGATTGAAACGTTATGACGGCCGTACCAGGGTCTTTTCCACCCCTCGCCGACATAGCCATAGCCAGCTTCTACAGCAAGTCAAACAGTGCGTCACACTTGTGTGCATACAAGAGGGGCGACACAATGGAAGTGATTCTATCAGCTGTTTCCTCACCTGACTATTCCAGGAATAGCTTGATTAAGAAAACCTGAGACGACGTCAATACTTCGCAGTGAAAAGGCTGCCAAATAAAGCACGATGAGAGCTGCTCCAGAGGGAGCGTGCAAAGAGTGCCAGATCGACTAAGAGTGGACAGGGCTTACAATCGCCCTCCACCGACCAAGTTAAAGAAAGACCTACACGCACAGTCGAAGCAGCACAAAACAAGAGGAAATTTCCCAAAACCCAAAACGCAGAAGAAGAACAGGTCCACACACCTCGTTAATCTCACCTACGCCAATTGCCACCACTGTAAGCAGACAGACAGGCAACGAGTACAAATAGCATCTATGAGCTCATGAGGGAGAGAGAGAGAGAGAGAAAGAGAGAACCAGGAACGGAAGTAAGGGCACAACAATCTATCACAGTACTTAGAAGTAGGTTGCTGTGGATGTGTTTGTTTACCTACCTACTTCTAAGTACTGTGATAGATTGTTGTGCCCTTACTAAGTAGAAATTTACAGCCAATCCAAGTGATGAATCTCTCTCTCTCTCTATCGCAGCAGCAGTAGCGTCACATCGAGACGAGAGGAAGAGAACACTGAAAACCGGGGCTGATTCGGTAACTGGCACGACCATCCAGCGTGCTGCTACAGAAACATCATTAGCAGCAGCAGCAGCAAATGCGTCCCCCTTCTTCCGCTTTCTTCCCTCCTCTCCTCTCCTCTCTTTACTAATACAGGAGAAGAATGTGGGACCTGTGGCGGTGATGGAGTTATTGGTGATTGAGCCAGGTCCCCACTTTATTATTATTGGTGGACCCTTCTCTCCTTCATGTTGGCGCTTATTGCACATTTGCAAATGTGCAAGATCAGAACATGCAATCCAGTTGAGAAGAGACAAAGATGTAATTGGTTCTTTTTAGAGTTGAAGCTACGTCCATTGGAGAGAGAACATGTGCTGTGCTAGGGAGCACTCTGATGTCCATATGAGGTTTGGACAAAATCCTATTGCTAACCCTAGCGCCTCCACTAAACAGGCTCCAAATTGAACCTACATTGACCGTTAGGGCACTACCCTTGCACCCCTCTAAGGGGAGATTAAGAATCTAGTCCCTCTCAGTGTGACTTGCATTATTGTTGATATTGTTTTTCTATATGAGTGTGGTGGTGAGTGTGTGTCGCAGTTTCCATGGGTTCGTATTGCTTCCCCTCCCTCTCTCCCTTCAGTCTCCATTGTTCCCCATGTTTCTCCTTTATATATATATATATATATATATATTTCTCTTAAAAGCATATTAATTGTGTTATGTTTTTTAATTTTTTTGTATTTGGCTAAATTGTCACACAAAATCATGTTTGTATAATGATTCACAAAATAAAAGATACTTTTGAAAAGATATAAGGTTTATTTTATTTTATTATAATATTATTATTTTTAATAAATTAATAAATTAATAAAGAAGTATGATAATTAGTTGGTTTAAATTGTTGTGTTTAAAATTTAAAAATTATAGTTGATTATATATAGATAGATAGATAGATAATGCAAACCATTTAGTAGAGTAATGTAACAAAGAACACAACCAATAGTCATTTATTTTCAACATTTTCACAACATAAGCATAGAATATTTTGTAAAATTTATTAATACTAATGCTATGTACATTTTTTGCAACTAAAGAAAAATTAGTGTTTCTATAAGTGTCTTTAAATTATTACTTTATATATATATATATATACATATAGAAAGAGACATCAACTTCTATTCAAAGTACTCTAAGTTTTTTCAACATGATGATATTTTATTTAATAGAATTTTTTTATTAATTTCTTTAATATTATATTAGATTTTTATAATTTAATTTTAGAAGTATATTTTTAAATTGTAATATAATCTTTTATTTTGATTGTAGCTTTATTTTATGGACTATATTCAAGTTTTGATAATACACCTTTAAATGGTAAATTTGAAAGTTAAAATATACTCACTACACATACTACTTTTGATGACAAGCTTTGATTGTCAAATAAATTATTGCATTACATTATAATTACGAGTTCTACATAATCATTCAACCTTATGAAAATACGTACAAAGATGCTCATCTAATTAAATAAAACTATTTTGTTAGCTCATTAGTTGAAAAATGAAATTCCATGCTACACATCAACAAAGTGTTTTTATTGTGATTGTTATTGTTATGTAAATCTACATTTTAATTCTAATTTTTTATTCAGCATTATAATTATTGGTTGCCTATAAGAATACTAATATATATTCTAATAGATTTTATAGTTTTTTTTTTTTTTTTTTTTTTTTTTGCTATTCTTTTCATTCAATGTATCAAGGACATGAACTAGAAGAAGATGAATAAACCTAGAAAATCTATGTCAAAAGAAAAGTGACAAAATGCCAATAAAGTAGTATGTATATTAAAAGAAAATTGGAATGGCTATTGTCAAAAGACAAGAAAACTAAAGACTCTTAAATCTATAGAAGCAAGAAAAGAGTTGACAAGAGTAAAGAGGGCTTTATTCTTTCCTCTATATATACTATTTAACTAAGAGCTATATTGTGATGTTCTATAAGACCTCTAATATGTGTTGACTTTGTAAGACACATGGATTAGCTTACAAGGCAAGTTTTCTACATGTGGGCTACATAATTAGCTTGTTCTTCAAGCTACCAACATGTGTGATACATAGCCAACTTGTTGATTACATTTCTAACCTAAAAAGTCAATTAAAGACACCTATAAAGTCAAAGTAGTATCTATGAAGCTTCTAAGAAGCTATTAAAGAAGATATTATGAAATCAACCTATTTTTACCTATTATTATGTAAATCATATAAGTAATTATTGATTTATATGTATATGTCCATGACATTACCTCTTCTTCTAGAGACAAGTTCCATGAAGAGTGGTCTTCATATGTTGAGAAAATCCAAGATGCGGTAAATTATATTTACCACATATTTTGATCTTTGTTCTCTTTGAAGATAGTTGATAGGCCCTCTCAACCATTGATAGTGTCCCATATCAGGGTCAAAAGACCACCTTGTTATTTGGTTATTGTTGAAGCCTTTGTAACTTTTTTCAAATAAAACATTTGAAAAACCGTCAGGAGTTGTTCCTACTTCTAATAAAATTACTAAACATTAGGAGTCTCTTCCAAGGTCGTGATATTAAATATGTTCTATCTTATAATCTATTTAAGGAAGGAAATGTTATTTTTGAGGATCTTTATCTCAGTTTTGTCATCTTGAAGGTTGTGACAATTGTAATGTCTCATCATAGAAGTCCGCAAATGAAAGCTCTTCAATTGAATCTGCTGGTTGTTGGTTCTCCATCTCCTCAACGTTACAAATACACAGAAGCCACAAAAAAAGATAGAAGGTAGAATGCAATCTTCCTTGGACCTTGTTTCTTTTATAGCAAAGACTTACTATTCTTCATCTTAATTTAGATAGATGACGTCAATAAAAAGCCTCTACTACCTTTGCTACATTTGTAAGATTCTTTACTAGCTCTCATGTGCATTCACTAATATCATATCCGCGCCAATGGACAAGATATTTTTATTTATTTTGGTGTTGCCTTGAGTCTAAAACTTCTTCCACTTTGAACTCTTTATTATTGTCTACTTCTATAAGAGGGGTGGAGCTTGTCTTCTTCTTGGTATGTTCATAGTCTTATATGGTTCAAGAAGATACACGTAGAAGATAAGATGGATTTTAATTGCCTCTAGTAGATGTAATCAATAAGCAATTGGATTGATTTGTCTACAAATAGGAAAAGGTTCAAACCTACAGTAGTCCAACTTATCACAAGGACAAGTAGTCTTGATATTACAACAAAGTAATTATATCTTATCACCTATATTGAATTATGGTTGTTCCTTTTGATAAGCATTTGCGATGATCTTTTGATGTTATTGAACTTCCTTTAATTGTGCCTTAAGTATTATTCAAAAACTTGGTTTACATTCTCTTTTTATCCATTAAGAAATGATGAAGAAAGTTTTATATCCACCTTTAAAATCTTAAAAAGAGTTATCTAAAATCTTGATAGAAATTGAGTCCTCTTATCCAATATAATATCTTTTAGCAATCCATGATATCGATAGATATTGTCAAAGAAAAGGTTGACAATTTCTTCAATTATGATAGATTTTGTACATGGTACAAAATATTTCATTTTGATAAATTGATCTACTATCACAAATATAGAATCATACAATTTTGAGACTTAAAGATCTATAATAAAATCCATAGAAATAAAAGACCATGATTGTTCTCGAATATGTAATGGTTGAAGAAGTCCATCAAGTCAATACCAAGGAGTTATTGACCTTGAACAAATGTTACACAATTGAACAAAGTTTTTTATAGCTTTTTATATTTGCGGCCTCCAAAAATCTCTAGATATTAGCTCTAGAGTCTTGTATCCAAAATATCATGCTGTTGAAAAGTTGTGACATGCTTGAAGAATACGTAAACGTGCTTTTTTTTCTAGCACATATAGGCATCATTTGAAATAAAGTAGATTGTTCTTGAATTCAAACTGAGATTTAGAAGAAGTATTCTTGATATCATGAATAAGAAGATCACAGGACATACTTGATTGAATTTGTTTGAGAAAAGTTGAATCAATAGTCAATGTTGATTTCACTTCTTGAAGATGAAATTATTTTGGTTTCAATAAAATTATCTTTTAATGATCAAAAGCTCCATCTCTTTCTTTAGATATAAGATAAGAACGTCTAAAAAAGACATAAGATAAACATTGTTGTTTTTCTAGTCGATAAGTAACATTGAATTCAAATTTTGACAAAGACGTGTTCCAACAAGCTTGACGATGATTCAAAACAAGAGTTAACATGAAGTACTTGAAGTTCTTGTAATGTGTATATATAGTGACTAGACTAGAATTGCCTTCTAGATAATGGCACCGTTCTTAGAAAGAATCCACAATTACAAGAGGCTCGTTGTTGTCGATTTCATAGTTAATTTTGGGTGTTGAAAATTTCCTAGAATGAAAAGATACTAGGTGAAGTTTATCATCTATTTCTATTTGTCATAATATAGCATCCAAAATAAATTCTAATGCATGTGTTTCCATAAAGAATGCCTTAAAAAAGTCAACATGATACAAGATTGATGTAGAAACAAAGGCTATTTTTAAAGCTTCAAATTCTACTTCTATTTCTTGATTCCATTGAAGTTTTTCTTTATTAGTCAAACAAGTAAGTAGAGATGTAGTTTAAGAGAAGTTTTTGATGAAGATCCAATAGTAATTGGCAAATTCTAATAAATATTGGACATCTGAGACCATTTTTGAGATCTTCCAATCCATAATCATTTGAATTTTTTTAGGATCTATCATAAATCCATTGTTTGAAATGATATTACCTAAGAAGTCAATTTAATTAGTATGAAATATATTTTTTCTATCTTGGCATAGAGTCCTTTATCTCTT